GTCCCAAAGCCCCCAATAAATGTGTCAAGTCAGTTATTTACATGTTATTACAGAAATAAGAAAGTACAGGGCTCCTCTTCCTTGCCTCTTACAAAATTTCCCAGCAGGCACTAAAGAAATATAAATCAGGTAAGTTGCTTTTTATGAAAATTACTGTCTGATGCAGTGAAGCGTGCCACAGTAAATTAAATGTATAAAATTCTGGAAAGCCTGTGCTGCAGACATAAGGACAGAGGCAGCTACAAAATATCAAAAGAGTATCTAAAAACATAACTGGCAGTTCTGTTTTTTTCACCACATTATTTCTTTACATTTCTTAATGTTCATATTCTGTCTATATATAAAATCACCATTTAAAACCAGGAAATCATTCTCTTGATCATTCAGCCATTTGTACCTGGTTATGTTCTCATCCATTTCTTGCACTCTTACATTTACATATTGAACATTTTGCTGGCTGTCCTTCAGCATGTGTTAACTTTTGGTCTATAAATATATGTTAGGGCTTCTCAATGTGCATACATATTGTGTTGAATATTATTAATAGTATAGCTGCCACAAGAAATTTTTTACTAGAAGGGACTTTATAAATGTGTTCATCTGAACTTACTGACATCTTATCTATTTATAGTATATATAGTTTTAGTTATATTATTAATTCTTTTATGAATAAATCCTGATCTCTCATAGTCTAATCGAACTGCAGCCATGTTATAGTTTATACATTTTCATCAATACAGTTTAAACACATCTGTTGTACAGGTCCACCACACTTAGTTGTTGCAACTTATCTATATCAAGTTAACAAAAACATTTTTTTAAGATATGCTTTTGTTAATCCTAAATATATATTATTTGACCTACAATAATCAGCCTATATAGATTTGGGAGTTGTCTATATTCCAACCCCTCCATGTTTCTCATTCAATTGTTGGCTTCTTTCTGGGTTTGAAACAAAGTTTTACATAACAGGAACAGTAGGGGGCATTCAGAGCTTAAAATGTTTGATATTGTCCTATGATATTTGAAGAGTGTATTTTAAATTTGTAATGTACTGTTTAGCTTATTTGAAATGCCACATACAAAGTCCACCTATTCATGTGTTTCTGTACATAATATTATTAGATATGATAGGCTTTTTGTATGTACTGGTTGTCCTTGGATGTTTGCCCTGTTCAATATTATTTCCTTTTAGTTAAGTTTTTGGAAGCATTTATTTTACATGACGCTACCATAACATATGTGACAAGAAGGGATATGTATCAAATTCATTTTAACAGATTTTTTAATAATGAGGACTTATCACCTAAAACAGAATGGAAAATATTTATTCAAGCTATGCAAAGACATTTGACATGGGGTATGACTAGTGGCAGGCAGAATACCTATCAAGCAAGGAAAGAATGAGGATCTATGGCAAATTGTTACTTCAGTACCACAGCACCACCTATTTCAAACATCTGCTTTTGCATGTGTCTTAGCCTTTATCAACAGTGGGCATGTTGACACATCGCCCTATGTCACAGTAGCGACACACTACATCACTGTATGGCATGCTACAGTGATGTAGCGATCATGAGACTTTATATGTGACTGGCAGCTACCTCACCATAGTGGCACACTCCACTGTTTTAGTGCACTGCTACGGCAAAGTATCCATTAAAAACTAACTATGAGCCACGTGCATGGTGCAGTATAAGCTATTACTGTGCCATGCTTTAATACTTCCAAAAGAAAGTACCAGAGCCGACCCTAAGAGTGTGCAGGACCCAGGACATATCAGGCTGTGTGGTGGGGGGAAGGTGGGATGGTGAGCAGCCAGATCACAGAGTGGGGTGGGGGCTGGTGGCCACTTGGAACAGTGTTGTACAGGCCGCAGCAGCTGGCAGGACCTGTACGGCACTGTCCATGGGTCCCCCAAACTGTGGGGCCCAGGGAGGTTGCCCTGATTTGCCCCTCCCCCCCACAAGGGATGGCTCTGGGAAGTACTATAGCACGGCGCCATAGAATTGCCCTTGATGTTATGGGACTATTCACCAAAAGTAGGGCAAGGCACCAGTGCGTACTAGTCTTAATCAATTATGTCACACAATACCCAGAGGCAATCCCACTCAAAACAGGCACTGCACCTCGGATCACGGAACAGTTGTTAAAGTGGATTTCCCATTTTGGCACACCCAGGGAAATCATTACAGACCAAGGTACAAACTTTATATAAGAGGTGTTAAAGGCTGTATGTTATGCGCTGGGCATTAAGCAACTGCGAACATCGGTTTACCACCCCAAAAAAATGGCCTGGTTGAATGCCTAAATGGCACGATTAAACACATATTGTGAAGCAGCATGCAGAAAGAGCCCAAGAAATGAGACCTGCTCTTAGTGTCACTAATGTGTGCTCTCAGGTACACACCCCAGGAGTCAAACCAGTTTGCACCCTTCAGATTGATATTTGGCCACACGCCCAGAAGCTTACTGCAAGTAACCAGGGAAGAGTGGGAAAAGCCGGGGCATAAATGAGTTGGGGGTCCAACAATACAGGCAGGAGATGATGGAATGCCTTATGCAGCCCCGGCAGCTAGCTTAGGCGAATATGGAGAGATCACAGCAATGGCAGAAAGCCAGTTACGATCAGAGGGCATGAGAGAGAGAGTTTCAGCCTGGGGATAAAGTGTTGGTTCTGCTTCCCTCTTCCATAAATAAACTATTAACTAAGTGGCAGGGGCCTTTTGAGATGACAAGGAGGGCTGGACCCGTAGATTATGAAGTACACCATCCAGGATACATAAGGGAACACCAGATCTACCATGTAAACCAATTAAAGGCTTGGAGGGAGCCAGAGGGATGGCTGCTGAGTCCTGAAGAGGTAAGTGAAGATCTAGGCCCTGAGATAGGAGGATACACACTAAGGGGCAAGATAGAGATAGGAGGCAGCCTCACAGATGAGCAGCAAAAGGAGCTGGGATAGATCATCGTCAAATTTGGTGATGTATTCAGTGAGATACCATGAAAGGCTAGGGGCGTGGTACACTAAATAAATACGCCAAAAGGGGTGGTTATAAGGGAAAAGTGGAGACCAGTTCCCAACAACCTACAAATAAGAGTAGATGAGGAGATACAGAAAATGCTTAGACAAGGGGTGACAGTACCATTCCAGAGCCCCTGGAGACACCCACTGGTGGTCGTCCCAAAATCCGATGGGTCGCTAAGGATCTACATGGATTTCAGGGGACTTAATGCGGTGGTGCATTTATATGCCTTCCCCATGGCCCACATAGAAGAACTACTGGAATGGATAGGTCAGGCAAAGTATATCTCTACCCTGGACCTTTCCAAGGGCTATTAGCAGATCCCCGTGGCAGGAAAAGACCAGCAAAAAATGGATTTCGGTACTCCATGGAGACTATGTGAATTTACACAGATGCCATTCAGCTTTCACAGCGTGGCAGCCTCCTTTCAAAGGCTGATAGATAACATCCTAGTTCCACATACAAGGTACACAGTGGCATACATTGACAAGATTGTAATTTATTCTCAGTCATGGCCTGAACATGGCAACATGTGGAAGCAGTATTATGAGAACTGCGCCAATTTAATATGACCACAAATCCTAAAAAGTATGCATTGGGAATGCAAGAGACCGAGTACGTTGGGTTGCGTGTGGGACAGGGTCTCATACGCCCACTGGTGAGTAGAGACCATAGAGAAATATAAACCTCCACAAACAAACAAATAATGTGCTCCTTTCTGGGTTTGGCAACCTATTATTGAAGGTTTATACCAGGCTTTGCAGAGTTGGCTGCACCCTTGACAGACTCCATAAGGGGTAAAGTGCACGGTGTGATAAGATGGACGCCCCTAATTGAGGAGGCCTTTAGGAACATCAAGATGGCCTTGTGTAGTGGTGTGCTCCTGAGGACCCCTGACTTTCTAAGCCTTTTATCCTACAGACAGATACGTCTGAAATGGCTGTGGGGGCAGTCCTATGCCAAGAAGACGACGGGGTGGAAAGATCAGTAGTGTTTGCAAGTCAGAAATTATGCGCAGCAGAACACAGGTACTCCACAATCAAGGGGGAATGTTGGCTATTAAATGGGTGGTCACATATTTCCATTACTATTTAATGGGATGGGAATTCACACTCATAACAGACCATGTGCCTTTTCAATGGTTGCATAACTCTAAGTGTGATAACGAGCACATAATGCATTGGGCGCTAACTCTGACGCCCTTTAAATTCCCTGTTGGGTACAATCCAGGGACAACAAACAAAGTTGCTGATTTCTTGTCCCAGTGCAGTGAATCAGCAGCAAGGCCAAAGGAGTAGAAAGCATGGCATGAGCAGAAAATGGAGAAAGCATGCTCAGAAGAGGGCACACTCAAGATGCCACAAGGCAACTTAAAAGGGGAGATACATGGTGGGGAGGAGGAAACGGCTGAGCCATGGGGACCCTGTGGCAACAGCAAGAGCCCCACACCACAGAGCTAGCCAGTGGCACCATGGCATGCTGAGCTGCAGGAGCATGCTGGCAGCAGGAGTGCCATGCTGCGGGCACTGCCAGTGACCTAGCAACACACTGAGCCACGGGAATGGGGCAACAAGGGCGGGACTGCCATGCTGAAAATCCCGTTGGTGGCAACGCAGCCCACTGAGCCTCAAGAGCATGGCGGTGGTGGCAGGTTTGCCATGCCACAAGATCTGCCGGCAACACCACAACATCCCACGCCACAGCCGACAGGAGCTAGGAGACAGGGAGAATAAAAAAAGCCAGGGCCAGCGTGGACGCACTTTGTAAGAGCATGCCTGCGCCAATTCTCTAACAGGGGCAGCAGGGCAGTTATAAAAGCCCCGTGCTCCAGTCCAACAGGGGGACCAGAAGGAAGTCCCCTGCAGCTGAGGGAAGGCTGTGGCTGAGGCAGAGATCACAAGGGAGATGGCTAGTGGCAGCCTCCGAGTAGGGAGCTGACCCCATGTACTGACTCAGTGGAGTCAGTGCACTTACCTGGGAAGAAGACATGGAAGTCCGGCTGTGGAGAGTGGAGAAAGGACAGCAGCGGACCTACAAGACAGGATGAGAGCGACGACTGGTAACAACATTGCGTCTGTTCAAGACCAGAGTAATAACGGGTTGGCACTAGGTGGGGTGCAGGGGAGACAGAGCCCCAGACTAACAAGCGGCCCTAGCAAGACACCACTGAGGGTAACAGTGATCCCCAAAACTAAAATTCCATCAAAGACATGGCAGACGAGAAGCACTGGTGGTCTGAGAAATTGGTGCCGGGGGCAAACTGTCGGCTCACAGGACTGCGGTTAGCTCTGGGTAGCTAGAAAAGCCTAAATGAGGAGCTCAGGACAGGCATGGGAAGTTACAGAGTCCTACATTTCTTAATTCCCCCAAAATGTTTTCTTGGAATCTAATACCATTAAACAGCTGTGGCAAAAGAACTTTTTCATTACTGAGGTGAATCCAAGTAGCTCATGATCACTAGCACTATGCTTCCTCATGTACCTCACATTCTTAAGCAGTTCTTCCCTAATAAGAATAAGAAATAGATTAAAGTTGGAATCTCTGCTTTCTGGATCTGAAAGCTTTTAAGAGATTTTTTGCTAAACGTTTCACCATGAGTAGCTGCAACCTGTCCCCTTTCTGTCTGGCCACAAAGCCCATGAGTCTGGCCACAAACCCCACTAGTGAACCAATTATGAAACTTGCAGGCCACAAAGGATCTGACATCAGTTGCATGGTTAGATGTTAGCATAATTAATATATCCTGCCCCTCTTTGTTTTTCTATTGTGCTATCTATAAAATTCGTGTTGTCATTTTTAAGATCTTGCTACCTTGTATGCTATGCAATATCATCTAGTTATGTTGCCCATAAATATATGAATGCTATTTTGTTTACAATATATGTTTGCATAACATTTCAAATAGAACAGGAAATATTGTGATTTTATTGCACAAAAGGATTTTAAGGAAATAGAAGCTATAGAGTAAGTTGCATATTGTATTTGACTATATCATCAGGGTGCTAAGGTAAGCGTATGCCTTTATTACAGGGGGTGGGCAAAATGTGGCCTGGGGGCTGGATGCAGCCCGCCAGGCCATTTTATCCGGCCCATGGGGGCCCCTAAAAAATTTAGAAAATTAATATTTTTCTGCCTTGGGCTGCCTGTCATGCAGCCCTCGATGGCTTGCCAAAACTCAATCAGCGGCCCTCTACCCAAAATAATTGCTCACCCCTGCTTTATCAGATCTCTGAAAACAAACAACGTTTCAGTCTTCTTTATCTAAACATGCATAAATTACCTTGCTGCCTAGGACCAATTTAGCAAAAAGTATTTCCTGCATATGCAATATGAAAGACTTTAACAGCTCTGTAATACAAGTTGCTAGAACTTTAAATGGCATGGAAAACAGACGTGTTTTTGCTGGATCTGGCTGTAAATGTCAGACCTAAGAATACTTACTTTTATTTTCTGATGACATAAACAAAGATTTTTAATTACTTCACCTGTTCATTCACTCTGGAGTGTGATGGCCCATGATGGATGAGAATCTTCACAATGTCTACATCTCCTCTCCAAGCAGCCAAATGCAGAGGAAAATAACCTTTGTTATCTGCCACATTAGTTGATGCTTCAAACTGAAGTAATTTGAGAACAATATCCCTGGAAGACAGGAAACAAAGCTAACATTCTAAAGCTTGCAAATGGATATTCATGGATAAGCATATTTTATTCATATTGCCAATATTTTCAGACTGAACAACAGAACTACGAAATCTTTCAGACATCATAATTCAAGTGAAATTCCCATAGAAATTAATATTAGTTTTGCCTAGTAGCAGAATGCAGACTGCAAAACGTAACTAAAATATTAACTTTGGTTCCTTATTTTAATGACTAGAAGGGTTATTTAACAACAGACACTGGTTTTCTGAATGCATTGTTTTTGAAGAGATATTGATGGATAGCTCTTAAGCAGCGAGTAGGGAAGAAAGTCAGTTTGACTGTGCAGAAGTGGTTCATTTCAAACCTAGGGGTAAGGGAGCAGCAACTAGCAATGTGGGAGTGAATGCATCCCTGCTCCCAGCTCCACCCAACCCTGTCCCCTTCCGCACCCTCCCAGCAGACAGATACATAGAGAGAAGCAGCAGGGACTTTTTTTAAGTCCCCAACACAGTTAAGAATCCTACCTCCTCCCCACTCCCTTGGCACCCCCCCTCTTCCTCTCTGTCAGCAGCATGTCCTCTCACTTCCCATTCACCCCCTCCCCACCCACCAATGTCACTGTCCTGGGCTGATGGGAGGATGAAGGGGGTTCCAGAGACACCCCTGCCCCACTCCAGCTGTTCTCAGCAGGGAACAGCAGCAGAGGAAGAAGGGACAATCCCGGTCCCCTGGGTGTTCCCTGTCAGCCCAGGAACAACTGTGGGGGGAGCAAACTCACTTGCTGCTATTGTGGCTACTTCCCTGCTGAGCCCAGCTGCTAAACCTCCGGAGCCCCTCTCCCCACAATGCTCTTAAACCATAACTCCTCCAATTCATTTCTCAGCAGTGAAGGGCTCCACAGCTGCAGAGCTTCTGCAGCCAGACTAAGCAGGAGATGGCAATAGGTGGATTTGGCAGGCTGTATTCACTCCCAGGATGGCAAGAAACACCCAGGGGACCAAGCAGAGAGGAGGAACCTACCCAGTGCCACCTCTGCTACCACTGTTCCAAGCTGAAGCAGGCAGGAGCAGCTCTATAGCCCCTCCCCTCCCACTCATCTGGGGACAATGGGATCAGTGGAGGGACCAGCAGTAGTGGCAAGACTGCTGTGGACAGAAGGGAAAGGGGGTGACAAGAGTAGGTGGATGGGATTTTTACTTGGTTTGTGAACTTAAAAGCATCCATGCTGTTGCTGTTTGTGCAGTCAGAAGATGGGGGTGCATCCATGCCACTGTACCACTTTTGGATTTACCCCTGGGTGCTGCTGTTGGTAAGTAACCCCTTTTTTCTTCTTTATGCTAGCATATAGTCCCAGGATACTATGCGAAGATGGCCTACTTAGATATTTACTAACTTCCCTGGAAATCTTTTTTTTTTTTCCCTCTGATTTTCAGATTCCTAAGAGCAATGAGAAAAAAAGCTATGTCATTATTTTTCACCTATATTTTGCTTCAGCTAGTATTTTTAAATTGTTATTTTAAACCTACATGAAAATGAAAGATTAATAGAAAGAGCTATATTGAGCCATTGCTTTTTAAGCATAATACCTATTGATCTCAACAGGAAGTTTTACTTAAAATTCAATGGTATGGTATGAGCTCCAGTTAACAAGTATATCAGAAAGTAAATCAGTTTTGTCTTACCTGTAAATTTGTCTTCTCATAACTTGACACTGTCAGGCCTGACATTAGCTAATAAATTAACCAGACTTGGGTCCAACTGAGGTGGTTCTGTGCAAATTTCTGGACATTCAGACATTAGTTCTTTAAAGTACTGGTCTGGCACCAAAACTCCAGGAGTAGATTCAAAGCAACCCTCCCACCCCCACCCCCGACCAAAACCCCTGCTCCCTAACTTGCCCCTTAAAGGCACCAGTTCTTCTCAGTAAATATATTCCATAACTGTCAGTCTGGAAGGCTAATAAAGGTCATTTAGGCCAGAGTCCTGTTGCATTTTTGTCTTGACCAGCATCTTAGGATGGGCTCTACCCAGAGGCACAGCTGGGATACTCTGTGGCCTGGGTAGCTGTGTGATGGCTAGAGCAGTGCCAAGAGCAGCAGTGCTGACCACAGTGGCATGATCAGCCACTTAGGAGCAGGTATTCTTGCAACCCTGCCTTCTTTTAGTTACTGTACTGGCTTTACCTATCAATGACAAAACTGTGTAAAAAAAGTAAAAGCTAGAATATTTAGCCATACTAGTTTCTTTGTTTCACAAGGAAGAACAAATATATGACATCAGTTATGGCTGTGCTTCTATTGGCTTCTTGAGAAAGGGGACCTAGATCAAAAGATATGTTCTAATCAGTGCTGCAAAGCAGAAGGGAGCAAAGAAGGGTTACAGTGGACAATAAGCTGAATATGAGCCAACTGTGTGCCTTTGTTTTGAATAAGGCTAATGGCATATTGGGCTGCCTTAGTAGAAGCAGTGCCAGCAAGTTGAAGAAAGTCGAAGAATTATTCCCCTCTATTCAGCACTGGTGAGGCCACATCTGGAGTACTATGTCCACTTTTCGGCCCCCAATACACAGTCCAGTAGAGGGCAACAAAAATGATTAGGAAGCTGGCATACATGATAGGCCTGTGCAAAGCTTCAAATCATGATTTGGAGATGATTCAGAAGATTCAGAGGCCAAATCTACAAATCCAAATTGAATCACGGGAAGCTTTAGGCTTTCCAAATCAATTCAGAGCTTTCAAATCAATTCGGACAACAATCGGAGATTTGGCCATAGGGTATAATGGGGAATCAATTAATTTTGTTGTCTTTTGGCTGATTCAGATGAAATTTGCAGGGATGGTAGCCCCTGCTGAGGCCACAAAGCCTGCCAAGTTTCAAGGAGCTAGGTGCAGGAGTTTGGGGGAAACTGCACCTCAAGCTGCGGGCAAGCAAAACTCATGACATGGGTGACACTGTGTGTTAAGGCGCAGCAGGGTAAAAGCTGCAGGCCTGCTAGCCCCTGCTGCAGTCACAAAGCCTGCCAGCTGTCAAAGAGATAAGTGTAGGGGGGTTCTGGAACCCTGCACCTCTAGCTGCTGACAGGCAAAACGCGTGACATGGGTGCTTGTGCAACTGTGTCTGTCTTGGAGCACAGGGTGGGGGTGGGGGGAACTACTGTAGGCTTGGCTGCTAAGCTATTGTGTTACCAGTCAATCATGATTCACTCAGAGACCAGCTAGCTACTAGTAACTACTAGATAATGAGTTAATGAGCAAGGATTAACACGTACAAAACCACAGACTAAGGAGAGGAAATAATCAATATAGACAATCAACTGCCCCAAGACAGAGACCGTCAGCTGCACAAGTACCCATGTCACGAGTTTTGTCTCTCAGCAGCTAGGGGTGCAGGGCCCCAGAGCCCCCCTGCACCTATCTCCTTAACATCTGGCAGGCTTTGTGGCCTCACCACTGACCACTACCCCTGTAGTTTTGACCCCACTGTGGCTGAACACATACACGTCATGAGTTTTGTTTTCATGAATTTGGGGTGCAGTTTCCCCCAAACCCCTGTACCTATCTCCTTGAAACTTGGCAGGCTTCATGCTCTTAGCAGAGGCTACCATCCCTGCAAGCTTCATCCAAATTGGACAAAAACCAACAAAGTTATAGCTATTTCATTGTTTCCCCATTATACTCTATGGCCAAATCTCTGAATTGGCTCCAAAACTTCGGAGCCAGTTCAGCTGAATTGAAGTGGGAAACTGATTTGGAGCTCTGGATCAAATCACTGCCATCTGAATCAGCTGAATCCAAACCCAAATCGAATAGTTCCCTATTTACACGGGCCTAAAACATGACTTCTGAGGAAAGGCTGTGGGAGCTGGGGATATTTAGTCTGAAGAAGAGAAGATTGAGGGGGGATTTAATAGCATCCTTCAACTACCTGAAGGGTGGTTACAAAGAATATGGAGCTACGCTGTTCTCTGCGGTGGCAGATGACAGACCAAGGAGCAATGGCCTCAAGTTGCACCAAGGGAAATTTATGTTAGATATGAGGAAAAACTCTCATTAGGAGGACAGTTAAGGAACAGGTTACCCAGACAGGCTCTGTATTCCTTGGAGATTTTGAAGACCTGGATAGACAAAGGCTTGGCTGGGATGATATAGTTGGGAACGGTCCTGCAGGGGGTTGGACTAAATGACCTCCTGAGGTCTCTTTCAACCCTAATTTTCTATGATTTTATAAGGAAAAAGAAAATCAAGAAAAAAAAACTGAACAGTGAGAAAAGATTAAAAAATGGTGGAGAAGCAGTAGAGCAGAATGCCTTGTAGCTAGAAGAAAATGACTGGAAGGCCTGGCACAATGCAGGATCTTCAATAACCAATGCAATGATACCCAACAATAATGAGCTTAGAACTGCCTCTAGTGGCTGATAGGCATGTTTAACCTAGGGTATCATCTTTCAAATTGCAAATTGCATTTTCTTAACTAAGAAAATTTAAGGTACAAGGCACACTATTTAAAGGATGTAAAAAGTCAAAAATATAGAAGATAATCAATGGAGAATTCAAGAGGCTGCATGCAAATGAGCATGGATGTGCAGCATACAGTGCTGCAGATGGGTCATATGCAGGCATTCCACCTGCTGCTACCCTGCAGCACAGGGTAGGGGTGGGTGGAGATCCTAGGGTCGAAAAAGGAGCGGGACACACATGGCAGCAGTACACACTGCCCAAAATCAGAATCTGGACTGCTGGAACCATGCTTTGGCTGCCAGCCAGGCTCCCAGCTCCAGGAGAGCTGTGGATACAGCTCTCTGAGGCCCCTAGGACCCCATGTAAGGCTGCTGGGGCCAGCACAGTTGCTGGCCCCAGCCAGGGCCAGGTTAATGCATAGGCAAAGTAGGAACACACCTAGGGCTGTAAGTGAAAAATGGGCCCAATTGCGCTTATTTTCCATATTATAATTATTGAGTAAAAAAACATAGGGGCCCACAAGTTTGTTTGCCTAGGGCCCACTAAAGGGTTAATCTGTCCCTGGTCCCAGCCTCTCCTACCTCACTCAGGGTAACCTGCTGCACATCAGAGGGTACGTGGCACAGGTGTTCCCTAAAGAAAAGTAGCAGCAGCACAAAGTATGCTGCTGCTTCTTGTCCCCAGGTAAACAAATGTCCACATTCATGTGGACACTGCCGGAGAGTGCTAACAGGTTCAATATTTATTCTATAAAAATATTTTGATCTAAATACAGTGTATATGTAGTAGTAAATTGTCACAGGATGGGGTCCCCAGGGTTGGCCGCGATACCCCTAGGGCTCTTGACCATGCCAATCCTGCCCAATGGGCACCCTCTCTCTCCTGCCACATCTTGTTGTACTATAATAAATAGGGAGGCTGCCCTCTAGTTTGTATTTTTGGGCATGGTCCTGATGGATCCCACTGAACCCGGTGGGTTCCCAGACCCCTTTTGAATCCCACTCCAAAATGGATGCCTCTTTGGATACCGTCAGCCTTATGGGCTAGATGCATGGCTCCAAACTGCCCCTTTACAACGCCCCAAGTCTCGCAGATGGCATTCACATATTGTCCCTCCAAGGCCTTAGTTCACCTTGGCCTCTGATCATCACTGGGCTCTCCGCAGCCCTGTCTCTCTCTCAGTCCCCCCTGGAGCTGGGGTCTGTTCACCCCTGAATACTGCACCCACACTGGCAATGGGGTTCCCACACTGTAGTGGGCCCCCAATGAGGCATCCTCCTTCCCCAGTAGCCTCAGCCCGATCCTCCGGTGTTATCAGACAGCAATCAAAATACGAGCCCCTGGGCTATAACATAACATAAAAAATTCATTGTATGCTCTGTCCCTTTAAAAGAGTCAAACTTCTGCCCTGGCACTAAGTGCCTACTAAGCAAGGGTACCTGGTGAGCTCCTGGACCCCCATTAGCCCTAAATGCAGCATCTCTGGCAGCTGCAGCATCTCTGGGCAATTCATCCCTGGAGGCTCCTGGCAGGAACTCCCTTTGGGTGCTGGCAGGGAACTGCCTCTCTAGTTCCAGCCCTGGGGTTTATATTTGCCCAGGGCCCTGCCTCTTCCAGTCAGCTGACCGACTGCAGGTGTAGGCTAATTCCCTCCTTAGGCGTGCTGCCACAGTAATCTGCGCCTTTGGGGTTCCTGCCTGACTGCTAGGGCTCTCTCCCTAGGCAGTTTCAGCCCTTAAAGGAGCAGGCACCTTAGTGCCCTGCGACATTAATAAATACAATTTACCTTCAGGTAGTTGAAATAAAAATCCAGGAACAATTAAAACGTTTCCAAGCATGGATATTTTTGACATAGTAAAATATACATTCTTAATGTCAGGGGTTAAAAGATACCTGAAGATCATATATTCTGTTGAGCACTGAGCAATTAAAGGACTTCAGCATTATTGAAGACCAAACCAGGAATGGCTGATGTTAAAAAGTCAAATGGAAAATGGGGATGTACATTATAAACAACGATTGGATATAAATGACATGTAAAAAAATATTATGTCCTTGAATGTGTGATTAAGCTACTTTTGAGCTACAGAACTCAATGGTAGACACTTGGCAATAAAAGATTACTACTGAGAAGTACAAAAGGGGACAAGGACAAAAATGACAGAATAGTTTCAATAAAAATAGTGATTATATTGAGGATATTTCATGATTTGATTTAAAAAGTATTTTTCATGCTCCAGGTAACCCAAAGTACTTTATTAAGCAATGAATGAGTTAGAGATAGAGTGGAGATTGTGTGGTCAAACACAATACCAATATGTATTCAGTGGTAGATAATCACAGTGCCTTCTCTTATTAAAATAGACATTAATATTTAAGATTATGTGTTATCTTCTACTTTTCCAAAAAGTGCCAAGGTAACCTTAACTTTCTACTGACATCTAATCAGAAATGTAAAGAATGCATGTCATTTTAACAGCTCATTTGAAGAATGTGTGCTGTGGATGCCATGAGACTGATGGGATAAAAGCTGTTTTGACAGAACACAAGAATCAAAGGTCATGGACTGAGCTATGAAAAACTAAGAGAATTTATTTAAATAAATGAAATTACCATATTAAAGCAACAGGAAGGGTGTACATTTAAAATTTAAAAAATGCAAGCAAAACAATAAAAAAGAGAAAATGCCAAACAATATTTTAGACTAAAAACTGCTTTTAATTTCCTGGGGTTTTTTTGTTGTTGGTCAACCTCAAGATAGCAACACACATTTTTATTTAATATTCTGCTAACCAAAAATTAAAAACAGAAAGAAGAAATTGTGCTTAATTTACACTGAATTGTCTTATTAACATATAAAATTCACAAACTGCTACAGTGAACTGGAACAGGAAAGGGTGAATTTCTATGCTGCTAGGTGATTCTTATTTGGTTCGAGATTGTTTTTAATAGATTGACATTATGAAAGCTCTTTTGTTACAACACAAGGAGAGAAATTAAAATTTAAAAAATAAAAGCTTAGTATTTGTAGAATAATACTGAATGACGTGAAAATAAAACCACTCTAAAAATCACATGATTCAAAAATCTTTGTGCTTTTTTTTTCTGTTTTGAATAATAAGGCTCATTGGATCATAGGAAAGTAGAGCTGGAAGTTTCCTCACAAGGTCATCTAATCTAGCCTCTGGCTCAAGGCAGGATCATTCCATAATTAAACCAACCCAGCCAAAAGTGTGTCCAACCAGCTCTTGAAAATTTCCTGGGATGGAGATTCCACAACTTCTCTAGGTAGACTCTTCTGATGTTTGACCAACTTCATAGTCAGAAAGTTCCTCCTAATTTCCAGTCTAACTTTTCTCTGCTGCAGCTTCAAGCCATTTCTCCTCATCCTATCCTCTACAGCGAGAGAAAATCCTGTCTTCATCCTCTGTACAATCTCCCTTCAGATATTTGAAGATTATCAACCCCCCCAATCTTCTCCAGAGTAAATAATCCTAGTTCTTGTAGCCTCTCCTCATAAGTCTCAGTCCCCAGGCCCCTAATCATTTTGTCACTCTACACTAGGCTCCTTCCAATCTGTCTACATCCTTCTTGAAGTGTGGGGCCCAAACCTAGAAAAATATTGGAAACTTGGAAGTCTTCATGCCAGCTTCAGGCCAAACATACTTGCATTACATACATACATATTTCAAATTTCAAAATCTAGACATTTTTGCTACAATTCTATCTAAAAATCCTTTTGACCTGTCCAGAGCAGTTAGGCCAAAATTGAGTGCTTGAAAATATCACGTGCCGTCCTCCTAATAGTCCAGCCTGTAATCTGCAATTGATTCTATCTAGATACCATAGCAGCAATTATACTTCATCAGAGATTTTCTTGGAGTCGTGGTAGTTTGTGTTTAGTATTCTTATATTTATTGGAAACATTCATAGCCAATCTAAAAATCTGGAACATTTTTGCAAGTTGGCTTTCATCTTCTGACAACTGACAATATATATAGTTGCGCAAGGAATAAATTATAAGAAAAGACGCATGATGTTTTTTCTTTTTTCAAAGACACAAGTTTAGCAGACTGTATTAATGACTCTTAGCTAATTCCAGAGAGACAGAGTACAGTAATTGATTATTTTGCATCTTGTTGTAGAAGTGAAGCTTTGGAGAATTTATAATACTTATCTTAGCAATACTTTGTCTTGTATTTGCTAATTTAGAAATAAATTGGCACATATGGACTGTAACAAGAATATGACTTACAGAAATACTAGAGAAAATGTCAAGTTTCTGTAATGCAATAAACGCATAATGTATCATAAAGATCCTGTCTTTATGTTACTTCATCTCCAAGAGTGAAACTGTGGATAAAATGGACTAAAAATGAAATTATTCTGGATCTATATTTTGTTATTTAGGGTCTGATCCGAAGCCCACTGAAGTCAATACAAGTTTTTATATTATCTGTAACTGGCTTTGGATTAAACCTTATCACTTAAAAAGGAATTAACCCAATCTTAATGTCCAAGTTTTTTCAAACAATGAAAAAACAAAACATAAATAAATAAATCCAGACAATGTTAACATCTCTGATTTGCAAGTGGAAATTACAGAGAGAATAACAGACTTGCTCTGTGTGAACAACAGCTACTTCTTTGACAGTCACACAAGAGAATAGAAGAAAGAATAGAACCCAGAATTCCTTAATTTTATTCCCCTCTTGTAATCATTAGGTTATGATACTGTATCCCTAGCCCCAGTTGCACATCCTCAGAAAATCTCATATAAACACAAACCATGAGAAAAGAGTTTAATGCAAATATTTTTGTAAATCAGATTATTACACAGTTTTCACCTGTGCTAAGGAGTTAAAGTTATACTACATTTCAAGATTATATAGAAAATTTTCACCATAAATGTTCAATATGAGTTACTTACTTGTGTCCATTTAAAGCTGCATGGTGTAAAGCAGTGTAACCTGAGCTGTCTGTACAATTTATATTTGGTCCTCGCCAGATGCTGGAAAAAAAAGCAAAACTGTAAAGTTACTTTTATTGGAAACAAAAATGTTTGACAATATTTGCCATAGAAATAACTAAAATATAGGAGACAAAATATCTAGTATCTGAAAAGGGATATATTATTAGTATCTACTGGCAAATTGACCGTCAAGAATAACGGGGGTGGGCTGACAGGGTTGGAGTGCAGCCTCCAACCCTGTGTCCCCTCTCCGTCCATCCTCATCCATCCCAGCCCTCCCCACCCCCCTGCTTTGGGCCTGACCCCATTCCCCCCCAGCAGTTTGGGTCCAGGCCCACACCCCCCTCACCCCTCCCTACTGCTATGAGCCCAACCCTGTTCCCCCTTCACTGCCACAGCTTGACCCTGTTCCCCCCTAGCCATGGTGGGTCTGACCCTGTTCCCCACGGTGTTACTATGGCCCAACCCTGTTCCCCCCACCTGGCGCCGTGGCCTGACCCCATCCCCCCCAGCATGGTGGGCCTGCCATTCCCCCCTCTGGCATGGCAGGCTCAATCCTGTTCCCCCCCCGGTGTGGCAGGCCCAAGCCCTTTCACTCCCAGTACGACAGGCCCGACCCTGTTCCCCCCCACTCCACCATGTTGGGTCCAACTCCATTCCCCCCTTGCACTGGTCCCTCCAAGGAGCAGGGGGCGGAGGGAGGAAGCTTGCCCTGCCATCCCCTCCATCCCTCTCAGCCAGCACTCTGTGCTATCACCACCTCCAGGGAGCAGGACTGGAGGGAGGAGGGAAAGCAAGGCCAGCAGTGCTT